GACTGGCCGAATAAGTTTTGATATGGTGTGGCAATGCAGTTTGTCATGTAGTAACCCGAGACTCTGCAGCAGAGGATTTTAATTCTGTCAAAATACAAAAATAAGTCTTGTGTCAGCTAGTTATAACTGATTGTGTACTAAAGCAAATGCTGCAATCTGATTGGCTGAGCTATCGCACACTGAAGCCCGTAGTCGTAATTTGCAGCGGTTTGACGTCGTCCCTCTGGGGTACTCCCTATGGGCTATATAGGTATGTGCGGCCCCAACGGGTATGGCTTTTAGCAGTTTTGGTCAGAAATAGGGTATCGATTTTGGCCAGTTTGGTCTCAAACAGGGTATGGCTTTTTGCACTCTAGCCTCTTGAACTGGGTTTGTTTTTTTAGAAGAAGCTACTTTTTCTTCATTAACGATAAAAACATCTACAAAAGCCGTTCAATGCCTTTAACATCGGTCTGAACATAGAGAACTTATTATAAGGCAAGACTGATTTAAGGGAAAAGTATTAAATAGGATATCGAATTTTTGGTCAGGTCATAAATAGGGTAGAGAAAATCCCAGATTTTAGTCTTAAATAGGGTAAGGGATTTGGGAAGCGGGCCGCACATCCCCACCCACTTTTTTTCCCCCAAACCTGCAGTATTGACTTCGCTATCGCTTGGTCATTACGTCAAGGTCTCGGTCTGAGATTTAATATCCCGTAAAGACCTCACACTCGATCAATAAGCGGTTAAAAAAACTAATGAGCGCGTGTAAACAGCTGGAAATTTCGAGGGACGATTCAATCCGTGAGTGATTTTTGCTTAAGGGGGAAGTTTAGTACTAGTTGAAAATCTCAGTTTGAAGGAATTTAGTCAGAATACCAATGTTATGTTATCCGTTCTCGATTTCCAGCAGGTGAAGAATAAATCTTTTGCTCTAGCCTAATTGTTAAAAAGAATTCTCAACTGAATTTTTAGGTAAATAAAAAGAAACTTGCCGTGAGAAATAACATGTTACAGTAATGCACGTTGAACCGTTTTAACTCGATGATTTAGTTATATAATTATCTTTTTTTAATTTCTTGTGACCGATAAGGTGCAGCACACATCACTGTAATAACAGTCTCGTTCCCATAGCCAGCGCCTCCCTTGGCCTCTGGTCGAGGATCGCCTGACCACTGGTCGAGATGCCCGCGGGCTATGGGACGCTTTTGTATCCCCTTCCCTCCCNTAAAAATGTGGTGTCTCTAATTACATGATTCCAAAGGTTATATTACGAAACTTGCATTGATCACAGCAATCACAGCATGAATAGCAAAAACTTAAAAAAATGTACATAATCGTTAACAAGTAATAGTTATTTCAACAAAACAAAGAGGAAAACGAGTTACGAAAGTAACAATAAGATACACAAGATTGATATCGAAATCTGAAAGACACAATTAATTCATTTAGCTTATTTTCGAAACTCTTTCGAACTGCGTCGTTTGATCATGAAACCGAGCAGGGGCATGACAAAAGCGAAGTCACGATTGGTCGTTTACTTTGACTGTTGGGCTGAGAAAATAGCACATTTTGTCGGAGCTCATTACACGCGTTTTATTTTGATGTTAACCAATTTCAGAATTAACTCTGACGAGGTGCACAATCCAAATAAGAACATGCAGATACCTTTCAAAGGTTCAACGGAAACCAGTCTTAAGTGAGAGAAGAAGATTTTGCCTCAGTTTGAAAGTACACGGGCAGCAGAAATTCTACGGAATGAGTTAACAGGTACAAAGAGAGTTTCTAATTTGCACCTCATAAACAACAAGGTCACAAAACATCATCGAACACTCGTCGCGATCGCCCCTTTAACATTGAACACCAACTTAAAATTACTGCATCTACACAAATACACTCTAACATACAATTTTGATTAGACATGACTCTGTTATTGCGATAAGAGATGTTTCCAGGCCAATAAAAGACTCGACTTCGAAAGGTGTTTCCTGTAACGTCAATTACAACAAAATAAATAGCTCTGGTTACGAAGCAACCTCTCGAACTCTAACCAGGGAAAGTCCTCGGATAAAGGAAATCAGTTGTAATTAGTCAATAGCAAGGTAACGTCGCGTGGGACAAGCCACACACCTGATTTAGGCTCTGAACCTGGTTATTCCTCACTTCTGATAAGTTAGAAAATATTGTACAAGGTATACAAGAGAACTGAAAAAATTAGTAGACTGGTCTGGGTCTATATCCCAACCATTTACCAGAATTCTTCCTTAAGTTCCTCT